ATGGGCTCCCTGGTGTCTCCTATAGTTACTAACCTGTACATGGAAGAATTTGAGGAGAAAGCCCTGTCTTCCTTCATTGGTACTGCTCCCAGCCACTGGTTACGCTACGTGGACGACACATGGGTTAAAATCAGGACCTAGGAGGTAGAGGCTTTCACCGAGCATATCAACTCTGTGGATATCAACATCAAGATCACTCGTGAGGATGCCAGAGATGACTGCCTGGGCTTTTTGGATTGTGCAGTCCACTTGGGAGGGGACAGAAGCCTGAAGGTAGAAGTATATCAAAAACCTATGCAACTTTAAGCCAGGGAACACCCTGCGGCAGAGACTGGTCCACCCAAAGGACAAAACACCCAGACACAAACAGAGTGATGTGGTGTGTGCAATTAAGTGTAGTCAGGAGTGTAATGACTCGTACATTGGGGAAACTAAACAGCTGCTGCACAAGGGCATGGCCCAACACAGGAGGGCCAACCCCAGTGGACCAGAGTCAGCAATCCACCTCCACATGAAGGACAAAGGACATTCTTTCAAGGACAGTGAAGTCCAGATCCTCTCCAGAGAACATGGCTGGTTTGAGAGGAGGTAAGGAAGCTATTTTTGTAAAAATAGAGCACCCCTCACTAAATAGGGGTGGTGGACTAAGACACAACTTGTCTTCCATCTACAATCCTGTTTTGAGATCTCTGCCCAAACATTTCCACCCTAATTCACTCCAGGACAATAGGCGTCGGTCCACATGTGAGGGTCCAATGACAGGTAACGACTCTCACCGATACCAGACCCTAACAACTCAGTCGTTAAAGAACATTGTTGGCCACCGAGAGACTGAAACACCACCCAGTGGGATAAATACCCCCTGCTCACCATCAGTCAGACAGAACTGATGAAGCCTCTTGGATGAGAGGTGAAACGTCTTCTATCAGTTGCTTGCAATTACCTTCACCAAGGTCCATAATGGCCAAGACAGCACTGCAGCTTGCCTCTCCCAGTTCATTGGTTGCCACACAGGTATACAAGCCAACATCACTCATGCGACAGTCCCGTATCCACAGTCCTTCAGAGTCCTGGGCTTCAGAGGGAGGAAGGAGCTCATCATTGTGGTACCAGGTCAGAGAAGGTTTTGGAAATCCTGCCACTGACACCCGCAGTCGGATATCACAGCCTGTTCCCACTGCTGCCTTGTGGAGTTTACGGATGAAAGCTGGCGGTGTGTATTCCTGTGTTGCAGCCCCAGCTTCTGGAACTATCTGGTCCTTTGTGAGTTTGGCCCTTCTGGAACCAATGTCGGGACTGTGACTGGATTCAAAGTCTTCTGCCATCAGGATCTCTTTCCCACTTCTTTACTGGCTGTACTTTTTATCAGGTAATTGATTTGGGCATCACGATAAGCTGCAGTTAATGAAGACCTCTTCTGAAAGATTCCATTGGTTCAGATATCTCTGGGCTCACAGAGGATGTTTGACCCGGGCTGCTGCAATGGACACTGTAATGACCACAGTACATCAATCAAAATGACATTCAAGTTATGCAAAAGACACTTTGCATATGACTCTTCTTACCACAAAGAAGAGCGTACTGGTCATGTTTGACTTCAGGCATGTTTATGTTTTACATTTTATATGCCTAATCCAGAAAACTGAAAATAATGGTCATTCAAAAAAACTAAACAAGCCGAGTCTGCTGATTTTACATGTAAATATCTATTACGTACTGCTCAGACAGTGAAAACAGTTTATCATGTGTTTATAGGGAACAAAAACACTCGGGTGTCTTGGCTAGAAATTGAAACTATAATTTTTTGCAGACAAGGGCAGACTAACATAAGACACTATCAAGATGCATTACAGAAGGTGTAGGATCCAGAGGTTTTGGAGCTTGGTGCATTCTAGAAACCTAAAGGCATGCTATGTCAGCTTCTGCAGTACTGACTCTGACCTTTCTTTTATTAAATCTGTCTTTTGCACATCCCAAAAATGTTTTTAGTTGCTTAGTCACTGTAGTATTTTTTCACAAGACAAGAAGTCTGTCCTCTTACTGCCTGTCTGCACTTCAGATACAGGGAGAAGCAGCCAGGGTACAGTAGCTTGGACATAACAAAAGCTGAAAGAAGATAGGCCGTGATGCTCCAAAATACTATAACACACATCTAAGGGAGGTTTGTTGGATGGCCAGTCTGGATTTTCTTCACCTCTCATACCCACTTTTAATGTTGGCACCCCTTCCGAAATCTTGCTGCTTAAACTGAAAAAAGAAAAAGTTCTAGTATGTTGCTGTTTAGTGATGCTCATACCAGATCACCAAGGAGTTCACATGGGTCATAAGATATAATGGTTAGGTTTCAGAAATTCATGTAATTTCCCTAAAAATCTAGAAACCGTTGTAAATGACAACAGATGCAGTGCCATAATTATTCATTAAAAATATGTCAGCATTTGGATTTTCTTTATATGCTAATTCCCAGTATTTCACTAATATGCTGATCGAAGAGTTGCCTAAAATAGACTATACATGATTATAGAAAAAATGTCACTTAGCTCACCTTTGCCATTAAAGCTGAAAAGAATCCCTTTGGACTTTCCCAAGTTCAGCTTAATGGAACAAGATCCATGGAGCCAAATACTTCATCTTAAATCATTTGCAAAAGCTCATGCCCTTTCGTGAGTACAGACACAAGTGTAAGGCCATCTTAGATTATAGAGCATTAGCAGCCACTGCCATGGTCCCTTTCATCAGCTTTAGTCCTGGTGAAGAGAGGTGAGTCAGACGGGGATCCTTTTTCCTACATGTCAAAACACTCGGGCCTTCTGATATACTGTGTTTTCAGTATCTACGTTTAAGTACTTCTTAAAAAATACACTTTTAACCTTTTTAGGCTTCTAAGTACTTACATCAGCTCATGTTATCTATCTCCTCTTTCTCCAGTCTCCCGCAGTCTCGCTGCCTTATTCCCAGCTCCCTCAGGTTGGGAATGACAGCTGCACCACCACAAATAGGTCACATTTCTTGGGCTGCCATGTATGACCTACACACAAACACACACTCCCACACTCCAAGCCCTTTAGATAATGTTGTCAACCACAATTTGTGTGTGTGTCAAAGACAGGCAGAGGTAGCATGTGTGACAGCTGGAATTATAAAAGAAAGTCTAAGAATAAAAACAGGAGTTACATACATACATTCTATACACACACACATATATATATATATATACACACAGTATATATATATAAACCTGACATGAAACATGACAAAGACTGGACATCTGCTGATGTATTACCGCCCTCTACTGGTAAATACGGTGTAGTACTTTCAGATAACACCGGTGTTATCTGAAAGGTGTTACTTTTGTACTTGGATGAGTAAAATGAAAGATATCTGTATCTAATGCAAGATAAACAGTTTCACACAATAAAGTGACCTATCCCAGTATAAAAGGTGACCTGCCCTACTGCAGGCCAACTCTAAACTGAAAGCCATGTTTCCAGGGTAACAATCAGTGACCAACACTTAATGCTATCAGTGGTATCAAATGACAGACATTCATGTAAATGTTCCGTAGCCCTTAAAGTTAAAACTAATTATTAAACTCTGTCCCTAAACAATTCGTCACCTGCATTATTTACTCTAACCCATAAGATGTTAACAATAAACTGTCACATTTACCTTGAAGACAAATGCATTATATGGCTGTCCTGTGCGGGACTGCCTGCTTTTACACGGGAGACAATCCCAGACAAAATTCACAGACACAGTCGGGACATGGCTGTGCGCAACACTTTAACAGAGATGGGCAGACAAACCCGATGCACATATGCAAAACCAACCACTTTGTCTTATCTCTTGAAAAAATAAATCAGGATGTTTAACAACACTTCCAAAAAAGCACCATTATCACATTTATATGGACTGTCCCAGTGTAGCTTGGCGTCTTCTTCTCCTCGTTTTGTGCGTCAAGCAGAAACCTGCTCAAAACTTCCACTGGTGGTCGGATCTTTGTGTCTTTGCAAGCACAGGTGTTAAAGGTACTGTATATTCAGATGTCCCAGAAAACCGTTGCCACTGAGCCAATATGCACAATACCAAAGCCTTAAATTAGGAGCCACGAAATGGAGCTAAGCCATAATTAATTTTCTTATTTACACTTGTGCTTTTTCAGCTGTGCCAGATTTTGTCTGTTGTGACATTTAATGTGCCATTATCCCGCACTTCCCACATGTGGCCATATTGGTCGCTGTTCAGCAAAACTAATACGTCAAACGAATTTAAAAAATAGCATAGTTCATATAAATATATCAGTAAATAATGACTAATTATTAGTCACTTATTAAACACTGGCTATTGCAGTTTTACCAAGTCATTTTTCACCTTATTTTAAACATCTTCAGTGTGAAGGTTCATTCCTGATCTTGATAAATGTATTAATTGGATCTTGACAAAAGATTGTTTTGCAAAAGTGAAACACCTTAACGTCAAACACAACTCCAAAGACAGTTGGTTCAAAGGAAAGTGTCTGCACACAACAGGCCTTTGGCCTGTTAAATTGCTGATAAAAATATGTTTCAGAGATTGATTCAAGGATTCAAGGCCAGTCGGATAAAGAAGGCAGACACTGGTTTCCCTCACAGTAGACAATGACTTTTCGTTTAGTGAGTTAACTGGTTTTGTGTGTGAGATATGTCTGTAGGCCACCAATTAATGTTTTCAGCTACAGATACACATGACAGTTGTAAAGAAATCTTATTTTTGATGGTGTGAGACATTTTTGTATATTTGCTGTAGCCAGTTATAATAATGACCTTGGTTCACACTGTAAGTGAACTAAGCCACCCAAAAGCAACTCTGCAGAACACAAAAGGAGAAAATAAAACATAGATACTTTCTCTCAATACTGTGAGAAACAGTTGCACCAAACAGATAATCCCAACTGCCAAGGTCTTTCCTTGATATCTTCCATTTTTCATTGGCAACAAGAAGCTTTTCCTTGCAGACTTCACTCAGACTCAGTCTCAGACAGCTGAAGAGCTAAATAAATATGTGAGAATAAGAAAAGTTACACAGGATAATTTGGTTACTTGAGCAAATTGAAACTCCATTTTCATAAATTCTCTCTGCTCCTCTGGACCAGTAACAAGTGAAACTTCCTTTTTGGACTTTTTTTTTTTTAACCATTACATCTGTAAGATATTTTGTGTCTGGTGGTTGTTACACAGTCATGGTGTCCTGTGCTCTCCTCATCCTGGGTCCTTTGTGGATCCACAGTCTGATTCAGTCCTGCAGGGGAGAGCATCTATCCAAGGAGGCAGTGTTGTCCTGGTTCAAAGGGAGAGTTCTGGAAACCCTCGGGCTGGAGGAGCCTCCTGTAGCCACAGTGCATGGTCCTGATGAGGGCATGGCACAGCCAGGAGCGAGGCTCATTAATTGGAGGGTCCCCAGGACTAGCAGGACAGCATGGGTCAGCCATGGAAGAAGTTCAAACCAGGAATCATCTGAAATTATTCTCTTCCCCACTTCTGGTGAGAAGCTTTGTTGTTGTTTTTTAGCCTTAATAACATTAAAGGACACTTGAATTGCTGCAACACACTATTTATTTTTGCTGCTTTGCTGAATATATTGCATAGTGACTTTCTTTTACAAAAAGAAATCAAAGCACAATTGCAGCACCTTCCATCATAACACAGATTTGTCATATATTTCTTTTAATGCTGCAGCAAAACTGACCTGATCATTTGAAATTAAATCAAGCTCTATCCAGTCAGCAGTTGTGCTAATTCATGCCACATTTTAATAAATTATAATGACCAAAGAGCTGCTTGGTGAGCAGAACATTTTTGCCAAACAAAGAACTGCTACAAGCAGAATAGACAGGAGTTCCACTAAATAATTGAAATTACAAATATTTTTGAATATTTAGTCAGAATGCTTTTGTAGGGCACTTGAGGACAAGAGTGGATTAAAATTGCAGCAAAGTACCATATATTCCACAGAGTTACATTTGCCTTTCAGGCATGTGTATTGCATATGCTTTGCTTATTTTAATGTCAAAATCACACAGTTTTTTATTGCACAAAACTCACCATATTATTTTGCAGATCTGAATCAGCAAAAACAAGATTTTATAGATGTGCTAATGACTTAAAATTATTATAATGGTATGACTTCCTGTTTGTAAATCTCTTGTAATTTTAAAAAAATGTGTAGTCTAGCTATCCATCTGAGGTCTCCTCTTGATAACAGCAGAACTCTGAGGAATGCCAAAGGCAATAAATATCAGACTTTTCTTGTCTCTCTTTGGCAGACTCATCTTGTGCCAGATCTGACTCATCTCCCGGAGAAACCAGCATCAGCCATTTCACATATTACTTCCAGCCCTCTATGAGCAGCCATGATACCCTGGTCACATCTGCCCACTTCTGGTTCTATGCAGGCGAAAGAAGCACAGACAATTCCTCTGCACCGTTGTTCATTCTGACTTCAGTGCAGCAGCTTCTTCAGGTCGCAGAATCTCCATCACTGATGAGCTCAGACAGATGGACCACCTATCAGCTGGATCAAAAAACGCTGGCCTCTGTGGGTGAAGGCCCTTTTCTGCTCCAGGTCCGTTGTCTGACCTGTCAGTGCCATGCCAACGAACCAGACAAGATGCCCTTTCTTCACCTTCATGCTCACCCTCGTGGCCCTGTCCGGTCACCCCGCGGTGCACCGCTAACCATTCCCTGGTCTCTTTCTGCTATCAACCTGCTGCAGCGCCCCTCTCAGGACAGGCCTCAGCAGAGCGACTGCCAGCGGGCAGAGATTGAAATCAGCTTTGAGGAGCTGGGCTGGGAAAACTGGATTGTCCATCCAAAGGTACTGACTTTCTCCTACTGTCATGGAAACTGCTCAGCCTGGGATCGAACATCCACCATGCTGGGAATCACTCAGTGCTGCGCCCCACTCCCAGGGACTATGAAGTCCCTGAGAATCACCACAACATCTGATGGCGGATACTCTTTCAAATATGAGATCTTACCCAACATTATGCCTGGAGAGTGCACTTGCATCTAAACATAAAGCTTAAAGGGCTAGTTCGCTCAGAATTATGGTGTTCTTAGAGCTCAGGTCACAATCATTTTAAATCGGTAACTCCTCCATTTCCTCCGTGCATTTTACTGTGGCAGAGATAATGTCCTGACTCATAAACAAGCTTTAGTGTGCACTCTTTTTAAAATCAACTTTAAAACTTTCCAGTGCTGTCTTCACTTCCTAAGAAACTAAGTCTTGCTTTTTTTTCCTCATTTAGACACCGCTTGTAAGATAAAGCAAGCAGCACATAGTTTGATTCTCACCTTTAGAGGGCAGTGTAGGCCTACTTTTACACTGCATCGTTTCACATCAGTACCTTCACATTGCTTCAGACAGTTCAAGGAAGTATAGTATACTAAATCAATTTAAACATGGAAATCAGTTGTATTGTGCAACTATCACAAATGTTACAAACATGACATTTTAGAGGAGACGCGCACATATAATTAAGCTACTGATCACTTTTATCCAACTTTTGGCAACTGATTTGTCAATATACAGACTAGCATTCGCAGGCTTTGACAGGATATACTCGGCAGCTTTAGTCACAGAAAATCCAAAGACAGAACCATCTTGTTCAAATATATTTATTTCTCTCAAGACAAAATAATCTCTACAGTTACAAAAACTACAAAAGTATAAACCACTGAAATACCATATTTAAAATGGAATGTTGTACCTTACAATAAGTAGAAACTGTAATTGAGGGGATTACAAGAATACAGCATCAAACAGCTCTTTGGCAATCTGCAGTTTCATTTTCGACCAACAGATCATAAAACCAACAGGTTATGAAAATGTTTGAACTGTGTATGAACACTGAAATCTACTGATCAAATGTCGCATGATGAATAGGTGTGTGGTTACATGGCACCAGATTGTGTGTCAGCAGCCAACTCTCTTTCTTTCCTCAGCTTTTCTTTTCTTCCCTTCCCTGGATGCACAAAACCACCCATGTTTCAGCACAAAGGAGAAGTAGTGGTGAATGTCAAGGGTGGAAAATACGGCTCACGAAAGAAGAATGTAAATTTCTAAGACAGGGATGGAGTTTCATTGTAGCCCAACAGCCCAGAAGACAGATGTTTCCAGCTGGTTAGCAACAAACCAAATAAAATGTCAGTTTGGATTCATGCAGTGACCAACACTGAATCATTTTTATAGTACATAATTGAGGGGAGAAAAGGATTTACCAAATCCAGGTGATGACTTCACACCAGTCATGTCAAACAGGTGGCATTCATGAGGCCAACACTTCATTCTAGAAAAAGGTAACTAATCAAGAGCTTAGGTCAACTCATAGTAACAAGGTAATAGTAAAATAAACTATTTTTAAATGAACCGATTGTACAAACACACAAAAAAAAGAAAAAGGATTCTTGGAAGTTTATTAGAACATTTCCTGTCAAAGGATTCAAGCATTTCCCAGGTAACTTTTTGGCTGATTGAAGTAAATATACAGGCTTCAAAAATGTGTCAAACGTTTCTGAAACGGTGTGGTATCTCACTAATAAACACCAACACTCCCTAATATTGCATCTATTTAAATTAAACATGACTCTTGTAGCACAGGTTAAGCTGTATTTGTTTTGTGTATGTGTTGGGGGGTGGGGGATTACTGCACATGCCCCAGAAAAGACATAACCCAAGGCTGCATAACAAGCCTTAAAGAAAGATGTTAATGCTTGTCAGCATTCAACAATGGAGAGCCTCTGTGTTGTGAGGAAGACTACAAAAAAAATATATATATATATATATATAAAAAACACAGAGCAAGAGGAGTCTAAAGCTTATCCTTCCAAGGTCTGGCATGGGCAAGGATAACTGCATGGCTACAAAAATGGAGTGAGCAAAAGAACAGGGTGTAGGCAAGGTTTTAGCTGAAGGCACAGTCAAGGTCTGAAAGCAGATTGGCAGGCACGACTTGAGATGTGGAAGGTTTTCAAGTTTAGTCGTGGAGATGAACCGTTTGTCACAACACAACTTTGTCAGCAATTTTGTCTTTTGGATAGACCATCTAATACTGAAAGGCTCATTTCTCTCATCCACACACAGACACACACAGACAGGCTTTGGTCTTCCTCAGTGGTCTGACTGCATTCCCATATGTGCTTCCCCCATGTGTTTAAGGGCCAGTAGGAATGGAAGGACAGACATCTGAGGCAGGAAGCATGCTCAGGCACGTAGCTCTGGGAAGAGACAAAATAGTCATGTTGAGCAAGTCTGAAGTAGATATGCTCACAAATAAAGCTGTAAGAATTAGTTCATTTTAATGTAGGTTGTCAACTTCAACACTGGAACTGTACTGGGCAAAGCCACAATCTGAGTCCAGAAAATTACCTAGAGTTTAATGTTTTAGAAGTTAGCAATGTATTTGTTTGACCAAAAATAGAAAAATTGGTTATTTCTTCAGATCAACAGTTCAAAACCAAACTAATTTCTTTTTGAACTATATAAATCAGAGCAAAGTAGCAAACCCTCAGTTGGTACCAAGAAACATCTTTCATTTTGGAATTTCTAATGAATCATTGAATTAAAATTATATTTAACTATTTTTAAATCTGATTATTATAGATTGTGACTGTTTATTAGCTTAATTAATCCTCAATAATTAAAGCAGCAATGAAAATTTGAATGATGAAGACCATGATTTAAAGTGGCTCATTACCTTTCTCATTCAGCTCTCCCTGCTTTTCCTGGGCAAAGTTGAGGCGGTTCTGCTCAGCAGCCGTCTCTGCAGCTGTGTTGACTTCTGGGCTGCTGCTTCGTGAAGGGCTTCCTTCATCTGCCTGGTAGGCCAAGTCGAGGTGTTGCTGGGCCAGTTTCAGGTGCCTCCTCAGCCGCTCCAGCTCCCTGCATGATGGCACCTCATCCCCAAAGCTTTCCCGTCCAGAGTCAGCTACCTGTGAATCCCTTAGTTGTCCTTTCAGCTTCTCTTTCTTCATGGAGGCATGATATCCTGGTGGGGCTGTTGGCATGGCACGCGAGGAGGTTCGTGGGGGGGCACGCGATTTGACAGTGGCTCGCCTGCGGAAGGTGTCACGGATGCTGCCAAAGCCCAGATGGATGATTTCCAGGAAGGTGAGGAGCAGACAGAGGAAAGACACCACGTACATCACCACCAGGAAGATGCTCTTCTCTGTGGGGCGGGACACAAAGCAGTCCACTTTATGCGGGCAAGGCGAGCGAGTGCAGACGTAGGATTCTTCGACCTTAACGCCATACAGGACGTACTGCCCAAAAAGGAAGGCGATCTCGAAGGCGGAGCGACACAGCAGCTGACAAACGTAAACTTTCATCAGGCCGTCACGCAAGATCCGCCGCCGACCATCATGCTTTCTCTCTGAGCCTGGGACAAAGAAAACACTGGTCAGAATCTGATTCAGTTTGTATCAAAGATGCTAAAAGGTATTTGACACAATGCATACTTTTCTCTGCTTTATCAGGCTTGTCTGGTTCAATCTCTTCGGCGATCATCGGGTCTTCCTCTCCATTGTCCTCCGCCTCCTCGTAGTCTCGAACTGCCCCACGGTTAACGATGGGCATCCTCTTCTTCTTTTTCTGGCCAGACGTGTATTCGCTGTCTTCCATGCGGGCTATCTTGTGCATGGCGAAGCCCAGGTACATAATTGTGGGAGTGGTGATCATGATCACCTGGATAAAGATCAGACTTGATCATTCTGTTATGCAATCATGAAAAACAGATGCAGAGCACATTTTCAAGCTTTTATGTTTTATAACATTAGAATGCAGCTCACCTGAAAGATCCAGAATCGAACATGTGAGAGCGGTGCAAATGCATCGTAGCACACATTCTCACACCCAGGCTGTTGTGTGTTGCAGACAAATTTACTCTGTTCATCATAGTAGATGGTTTCCCCACCAACAGCTGTCAGCACGATGCGGAAGATGATGAGCATTGTCAGCCAGATCTTTCCAACAAAGGTTGAGTGATTGGAGATCTCATCCAGCAGACGAGTTAGGAAGCTCCAACTCATGGTGCCAAGGTGACCAGGGAGCTACGTAAGCTCTGGATGAGGAAAAAAAGCCACATCACTAACATGATACTGTTTTGTTTATCAAATGTGAACATTTTCTTTGTAAACTGAATATTTTGGACTGGTGGGTGGACAAATCAAGACATCGCTTTGATTCTAGGAATTTTTGAACATTCTCCCTTGTTCCTGACATTTTATAGACTAAACTACATATACACAGTAATATAAAGTATATATTTAATAATGCACCATTATGTGCTAATATATATTCAGTAATGCCCTCAAGCAATAAGCAAATATGCACCAATCTCCAAGATTTACAAACTAGCAGAATTATTGAGGAAACCAAATGCAAATATTGCATCCAGGTATTGTAGGTCAACCTCATCTGCAGGGCTAGGAAAGAAACATGCTTTGTTTTAATCATACAGAGCCCTCAGACTTGCAGGTGTCCATACATAAACCACACCACTCAGTCCTGTTAGTCAAAGGGCACTAGTAGCAGCTTGGTAAACTCTCATTCTTACAGCTCCCTGCTATGCCAAGCCTGAGCTGCTAATCAAACATCAGAGTGTCAGCAGGCATGTTGCAGCCAGCCGTGAGGAGACCTGCTGTGCTGTGGGCTGCAGGCACTAAAACGCTGAATGAAGTTAGGAATTTTTCTGTCTCACTGCCAGAAATGATCCCTTTAAATTCTTTGAAACCACAACCTGACACCTTAACATGAAGCCGTGAAGAAAAGAACAGAGCTGGTCCTTTCAGTTCATTTTCCAAGTACCCGCTCCTTTAAAGAGGATCACTCAATAATACAGTAAAGCTTGATTTACCTGGGTTTTTTTTTGTGGCTAAGTGGGAACAACAAAACAAAAAACAACATTTGACTGAGTGGTAGGTTGAAAACTAAGAAAACTATTGGGTTTATTTCTAAAAAAAAAAAAAACTAGCTAGAATGTTTGCCTGGAGCATGGAAATAGAATGCTTCAAATCAAATACAGCTGTCAATTAAAAGAAAAGGCATCCAGTATTATTTTGGATTAATATGTGCAGGATTGCCTCCTCTACCAAGGAAGGCTCAGGAAAACGGTTGAACTGATATTGCCACAGAAACATAATTTGCCAACTGGAATGCAACAAACAATAAAAATACACCTACTGTACATTCACCAGGCTGTAGCAAAGAAAATAGCCAGTATTTCATAATTGCAACAGAACAAGGCTTGAGCCATATCAAGCATCCGTGGGCATTTCTGCCCAGATTAGACCACCCAGGGTGCACCCAGCATGATGCCGTTTATGCTGGTTGGGTGTGGCCTCTGTTCTTTTTAACTACTGTATGTAACAAGTGGCCTGCCGGCACGGCCAAGTGAACTGTAGCTCTACTCAGGCCCTCACCTGCCAGGTTACTCATCAATTCCTTTGCAAAAGCCTTCCTCCACACTGGCACCTTCAGACGCCAAGAAATGAAGAGTCTGACATGCCTGAGCAGAAACAGACTCATGTTGAAGTTCAAGTATTTTAGCCTGTTTTGAATTAAATCCAGTGAAGATTATGTACTCTGAAACACTTCATCTCAAACCCAGCATGCTACAAGTTCCAGGCTGTAACGAGAGAACTAAACCAGATAAAATGTTTAAAAAGGTGAGCTGCAATTCACCCATTACAGAAACACCACTGTGGATAAGGTGTTTGACAAAACGGAGAACTTCAAGACCTTGTAAAGTCTGAGACAGGAACAAGATTATTTTACCCCTGTCACACAATTACAATGCCCACCTATAAATGTCATAGGTATTCAGCAGAGATACTGCATAGCACCTTGAAATAAACAAAATCCACCAATAAGTTTTTCAAAGCTAAATAGTCTGACATTTAATGAGGCAGACTGTTCCTTTAAGCACCATCTGTCGCAGTTATGTTTACTTTCTGCCATCAAAACTCTGACCTGATATTCAAGCTTTTTAGAGCTCCAACTGTGCTTCCAGGACACAACCCACTTTGCTAAATATTGACCAAAAGCATCATCTGAGAAATGAAAGGTATCACTTTCATAAATCCACAGCAGTCTAACCACAAACGGCCATCTAATATCAGTAGCCTCTAATCAACACACTGAACTGCCAACACAATAAGCCAGAGGCTGACTGTTAAATTTGACCTCTGAGGAGTACCATGTCTGTTTGTGCCACTTTATCAACCTTTAAACATACTTATTACTACACTGTAGTCACATGAGGGCACCAGGAAAATTTAATGGCTAATACTTGTCCTTGTAAACACAAAGGTTAGAAATGCAGTATCTGACAGATTATCACACAGTCCAGTTAACGGCGGCTTGGACGATGGAGTCACTGCAGTCACCTGTTAAATATTCTCCCTAAAGTGCCAAATATTTGATTGAACCGTTGACATTGTCGAGACATTTGAACACTTCAAAACACTTTTCCATATTTTTGATGTTTTACTCCAAGGTCTTGTCATTCACTTCTCTCAGTCTGAATTCCACTGTACCACAATCAAAAACAAATTTAACTCAATACAAAAAGCTAATTTGCAGGTTTCTCTCAATACACAAGGATTTTACTCCTACTGAGAGCCCATGGAAGCATTCTAGAGGTGCAGGGCTAAGGGGAGGGGGGGGGGACGACATCACCCAACAACGTATTTAACCAAGACAAACTGGTTTCATGGCTCAAGTAATTGCAAACATTTTTTTTGCAACAGAACCCTCACAAAAGCTGACCAGACACAGCTTTTAAACAGTAGCTTATTTGCTCATGTGGTGCGAAACCCAGCTCAACTTAGGCTTTTCTGCATCAGGAGCCACTCGGCTCCAGGAGGAGACGGAGGGGGTTGGAGTGTTTGAAGCAAAAGATCTGGACAAAGCAAAGGCAAGTCGACATTCCTGCCTAACCAACAGCAGAAGCTGGATCTTAGGGTTCAAGGAGCAGACAGAGGGCACATGAAATCCTCAAGGAGTCTGAGCTGTAACAGAAGAATACACCACCTACAAATGTCAATCACTACTCTACTGTACTGTCAGCACAGAAAAAAATTATTTGACTTTGTAAAAGACATCCAGAGGAGGAAATGTCTATAGCCACTAGACATATCCCCTGGTCTGTTTCAAATAAGCAGTAAAAGGAAGCTGAGAGGAGATTTAAAGACCTTCAGCAAAACTGTCCAAGGCTATGAACAAGCTCTGCTGAGTCAGACTTTACTGTTTTAATGTGGGCGTTCTGTTAGGAAAATAAAAGTGCTGCCAAGCTCTAGTGGGGAAACTAAAATCCAGTGAATTAGAAGATGAAGCCATCATTTAACTGAGTCAGACACGAGTTAGTTATGAAAGTTGAACCACTGTTAGGAGAGTAACTCGTTAAACCAAAGGAAAATCACTGTAATGCTTGTCTGGTGAGTTTATTTAACCATTCCGATGGGGAACTTTTGAAAACTACAGTGGTATTAAAATTGATTTTCTTTTGGCACACTTATAAAAACATATGACATCAGAACAGTTTGAGCTGCGCTAACAGTGAATTTGTCTTGGTGGATCATATTTTCCCCTAAGGGCTTGAAACTGACGAAGATAGAACGACTCACCGCTCTCCGGGAAGCACAGATCCAAAACTCGTCACACGGAAGCTACTTGGTAAATTCAGTGTGAACACTGCTCATAAAATAAACTTTGTGAACACCAACATGTTAAAATGAGGTTTAACTAAGTGGGAAAAGGAAACTAAATTGCCTTACAAACTTCTCGTCACCCACCTTCACTCCACTCCGCGCGTCTTCTCTCCTTGCGCTTAATTGCTCGACCAGGTTTTCTTAATTAACGCGCGCTCTCATCGGCGTCTGCGGGCGTCTGCGTGCGTCTGCGTCCGCGTCCGAGGCACCCTTGTCTATGAACCCATTCAGCCCGTGTTGACCCCATGTGTCAGGGTCCCGAACAAAAGTACCAAAGAGAGATCTCTGGTTCCTGCTCTCCTGCTCTCCTCCTCCTCCTCCTCCTCCTCCCGCACCTCCTCCACGTAACTCGGCCCTCATTCAAGAAGAGGAGGCCCCTCGCCTGAAACCTGAGATCCATGACTGACTATCGTTCGGTCCTGACGACGGACCTTTATAATATGATGATGCCACTGTCACAGTCAGTCCCAGGGTCTTCACAGGAATTTCATCCGATATAAAAATATCACTGTAATATGATAAAAAAATATAATAATATCACAATAAGGCTGCTTATAGCAATAAAGTTCATACACATACATCATGAATCATTCACAGTATTAGGATGCCAATTTTTATAAAGGACACTGTTAGGTATTTTTAGTCAGATAGACATTGGTTAGACTCTTCATGTATTAGAAATGTTTAGAGTAGACAGGATGTCTAGCTCAGGCTGTTAAATGCTTAGTCATTCTTATGGGGTACTCCAGGTTGTTCAGGTTCAAGGAAGCTGATTACTGTTAGGAGACAGAAGGGTTAATATTATTGTTATGACGTGTTTAACCATAATGGTAATCATAATATTTTCTTATGCTTAATGTCATGACATGTCACTAGATGTCATGTCAGAATGTTTTAGCTACACACCACATAATCAACAGACAGTCACACATTGATTTTCTTCATGCTTTGACTACTGCTATGGTCAGCTGCACAGCTGGCACCGGGAGACGTCATGGTTTGGTGTCCCTGAGTAGTATGGGGTTAGCCCGAAGTGATATAATGTATAGGCCTGTTATGGTTCAGGGTCTTTCATCTTTCAGCTGCCTGCGTGCATGTTGGAGGTGTAAGATACCTGAGCGTGTAATGTTAATTTTACCTGTGTTCATTGAATAAATCAGCACAGTTTTGAAGTTACTTGGACTGTCTCGTCTCTCAGAGTTAACGTGGTTAAAAGAACTAGGCCCAACAACACCATGTCTAAGAATGACATTTTAATATACTTAAATAAATGCACTTAAGCGTTGCTACCATTCACAAGAGGAAGTACACATGAAATAGACTCATTTGTAACAATACCACTTAGAATAAATGTGATATTATGATGCACATTAAATATGCACTCACTTACACTCACTGTATTAGTGCCACATTCAAAACAACCCTGAACTATAACTTTATGAGGTGTTGGCTCAGCTTTATTCGGAGGCCATTGTGTTGCTTGCTGTGGAAGTGTATTGCAGTATTCTGAGAAGTGTTTCTAATATTAAGTCTACTCTGACATAAACAAGGTGGACAAATTATTTTAGTATTTTAGTATTGCACTGCCATAGATTTGGGGCACTTGTGAGGGGCAGGGTAGAAAACCAATGGTAAAAACTAATGCAGCAGAGGCAGAGCAAGTCAGGCTCCAAACATACTGGAGTTAACCCGTCTCTCTAATGCGACTTGTCTTTCATTAGAATCTCCCTGGTTAACAGCCATGGTTTTCAAAACTCTGCTGTGTGTCCAGTTTGTAATACAGGTTTTAAATGCCCTAAAACTGTAGCATCTATGCCTGTGCTGAAACATCCCTGATGGTATTACAATGGCTATTTTTTTTCCTCCAGACTTTCAAGGGCTCCTACAAAGCCATCAATGGCATTATACAACCACAGTATTTTCAAAAGCTAAAAAGGCCACCAGTGACTGTGCAAAATGTTTGGAATGCCCCTTTAAAACACCTACATATTCAAAGAGAGGATTTGTGTCTGTATAGGATCTTGGGTTTTTTTAATACTAAAAAGTACACCGAGTCCAACTACACCATAATCTAATCATTACTCTTTGTGCTGAGGACCCTGTATTATCCACTTGAACCAGAGTTTGGCAGCCCACTAGCCTGACAGAGCACTGCGTGACTGCAGCTTTTAGAAGAGCAGGCCCACCATCCAGGAATTTTGTTGACTCAAGCATTCAGCAAAATAACAGATTTTTTGCTGTCATGCACAGTGCAGCTGTAGTGCTCCCGATTTACCAGAGGACCTTCAATGTTTGGAGGAGGCTGTGGGAAGTTGAATCAGGCCAGATGTGAGTGCCTGGCCAAATCACCATGGCTACAGCCCAGCTTTCTCTCATATTAACTATCCTCCCAGTTTTCCTTTGGTGCTCACATGTGGTCCAAGATGATGCATGAACTCATTCACCTGCACCTTTTTTACTGTCACTTATTTACAGCCAAAAATAATCCACGCTATTTTGGGAAAGTTTCTATTTTCTCTCTCACATTCTTGTGAATTAGCATTTTAAAAATGTTTAAATAGCACTGAATTAATGTTGCTGAGGGGTTTGACAATTAAGGCCCTTATAGGCGGACAGGGGCCAAAACAACAACAACAAAAACTAAGATTTTGCTTTTTATGGAAAAATGGGAATGGAGGTGGACTGACTCCCTCCTGTGGCTCCAAATTCCTTCCCAGCCCCCTGCAGTAAATATATTAACTGCTTGAACAAAGGGCACTTTTGCCCTATTTGCATGTCCTACTGCCTCTGTGACTGAATGTACTGTACACACAGTATCAGGTGCTATTGCTTATTTCCTCCCAAAACATAAAACTTCACAGTGTGCAATTGTTATGACTTCTGGATATTTTAGGCTGAGTTTCAAGACTCACTAATTTTAGCCTGTTGGAGGCCAAAACTAATGAGATTTAGCATTTGCTCCTTAATTTACTCCTGACAGGATGGGGGAGGGCATGGTATTTAGATAATTGACCTGTAAATGAGAATAAGAGAACAAAATCATTTTAAAGCACTGCTCCCAGAGACCATATCAGATCCATAAAACAGGATTATGTTCAATATACTTCACCATTAAGTAAGTCTGCTGACTAGTTTGGTGATCAGTTGTTTGTCAGCCACATGGGTGTGACTAAAGGTGATCCACAAACATGTGCACAACACATGCACAGCATCAAAACATTTACACTGTGAAATTGGTTACCATACCTTTCATACAGCTGAGCCTAGACTCAAATCCTGCTTTGCTTAGAGGAGTAGGATTGGCAGTTTGGCACCGAGTGGCCAAAAAGCACACAGTGTAACCAACAGGCCACAAGTTTGGTCCAATAATCAAACACCAATGCCAGACTTTCGTGCTGCTTTCAAGCATTTCTTCACTGTTGCTGCTTTCAATTGGAGCCAGAAATAATGTAATGATTAAGCTGACCTAATAAAGAAGAAATGGGTGCTGAAGACTGCAGGTTTAAAAGCCAGTTTTTATCGCACCAAGGAAGGAATCTTTCAGTTGCTAAACTGCAGGAACAGTTCATTACAGCATGCACAAGTTTCTAAGGTTTATATTTGAATGCACAAACAGGAAAATGTCAGAGAGAGTGATTTTCTATATGGTTTAACAATTTTCTCAAATACTTAGTCTTCTCTTGTCTTCAAACTGGAACATTAACACCATTAGTTAATGGATGGATGGATGGATGATGCCACTGCATTAACTACTTGTCAATGACCAGGCATGAGTCACGTTTCTACAGAACTAATAAACAGCTGACAAGTGACATTTTGAGAGCTTCAGGTCAAGCTGTGCTCTCACTAAACATTATCAGACACATACATCAATCAAGTGTCACAGTATGTACAACAACGTGTAAAACCTCTTGTAATTAAGAGGCTGTGAACAGAATAATCAGTCCCTAAGGCGTCTCATCTGCCTTTGCGGACTTTCTGGCAGCAGTCCATTGCTGTGGTTTGCATCATGACGGTATAAAAGGGATTAACACCAATCTACATGTACTTTGTTACATAATACCACCTGTTTTTGCTGTTTTGTTGATGTGGATCATTTGTGAAGTCAATTTTACAGGAAAGAAATGTTGTTGCTGAAGTTAAGAAAACCTCTGAAACTTAACATTTGTAACAGGACCAAGTGAAGTTCCACCAACCTGCTGCAAGTTAGATGTGGATACTCCTTTTTGCTCTCTATTAAAAATGCACGACTGTTTTGGTTTAAATAAACAGAACACAAATTAACATATTACTTTTATATTTAATTGTACAGATCACATGCCAGCAGTTTTTCATATTTTTGTATTTATATAAAAATAAAGCACACTTCTCTGACTTAACCCACAATGAAATGCTAACAAAGATATAAATCAGATTTTGTTTGTAAATTAACAGTGATCATCACATCATAGCGGCTACGTAAGCAAGCCACAGGGGCCACATTTTAAAGATAGTAATGCAAAACCTCTGCATTTATCCAATAGTGACAGTGCAGAACTGACTTTTCCATGTAGTTGATCTGAGAATAAACAAAGAAAAAAAAATCACCCAATGTAAAAAAACAAAACAAATACCTGTTCCCAAGTTTAATAGAAAAGAACTGCTACTGTTCATCTGATGTTCACACTTCTGGTTTTCTGTTCACATACCACAGTCCAGAAACACATCATGAGACTAAATTTAACTGGGAGAGGTGAGGTGACCCTTAATGACAATGTCTTAACCTCAACCACTCAGAAGCACCCCATCCTCGTGATGTCACAACTCACTGCACTCTAAGACAGTGAGGGGAAAGACTATGTCAAGCTTGGGGGGAGGGGGGGGGTTCCCTGTCAGCCTAGTGCAAAGAAAGCTATAAGATGCATTAAGGTGCTTTTCAGTAAGAAAACAGGGCAGCAATAAACAAGGCACGCTCCATTTCAGCTGCAGGAACCTTCAGTGGGATGGTATCTGGAGGAAAGATTACACAACAGTGTTTTTACAGACATGTGTACCACATGAATGAGTGCAATCATTTCCAAGTTTCTGGCTTAAAAGAGGATGAAAGCCACGAGTGTAATGGAACCAGACTGAGTGCAGACCGTGCTCACGCTCACTAAACATTTCCCAGTACCAACACTTAGACTCACGCTCACAAAAAACAGGAGCATACAGTCTGTAACTCTTTTTTTCATGTCGCTCTGTCTTGCAGACTTGTGTGCAGCTTCACTCCGAACATGGCCTCCCACTGTGCTCTGACCCAGGCCAGCAGACCCTGGAGGAGCTCACTGCTCTCCGAGCGCACACACCATGTCTTCTCCTGTTTCACAGTCTGCAAGAGAGAAAACAGCATGAGAAGCAATGAAAATGAAAGCAGTTCATCACAAGGAACTCACATTGGATAATGAGAACAAGAAACATTTACATGTATCAAAACTGACACCACAGTTGTAACAATCATCACAACACCACAATGTGAAGTTTGGTCAACCCTATGCACCCCTTTACTGAATTTCTCAATGCACATGTTGTAGTTAACAATATACTGATCTCCCTGGATTATTTTCTAATATGAAACAGAACCTGATTGTGTTCAATTTCACTCAAATCCTTCTTTGTAGAGAAAAGTAAACAAATTGTGTGGTCATGTTTACAGATCATGGTGAAAAGGGGAGCAATTAGAGGACTCATTCAGGTTAGCAACAACCACATGCACAGACCAACACAAACATGGCATCAGCAAGTACAGCTTTGTTTTGATTCAGGAGTCTGAGGGAATAGAGACAGTGGGATGACACGATCACCCCTGTTGTACTTACGTAATTAGGAAGTTAAATAAGAGTTTAAAATAGTTTGATAGTATACTTTGCTTTTCAAACTGAACAAACTATTTGATTTGTTCATTTATCTGTCTGTTATCATTAACATATGTTACCAGTGGATTTATCTACAGGATCAGTAATGAGCTACTTACTGTATGTTTCCCTTAAAATGTTATGCAAGGTTTGATATGAAGGCATGTTTCTGTCCACTACTTATATGAACTCCGTAAGATTACCGAAATAAGCTCCAGTAACTTGGATACATCACAGCTGTTTCCACCTAAGGCAGCATTTGCATTTTCTCCTTTTTGTTGAACCTTTAACCTGTGGTGTTTTTCTGATAGAAATGAGGGTGAAATGCAGAAAACAGCAGTCATACAAAGGCCCCTTCAATCCTGCTCTATTGTTTATTTTTAGTCTTTCTCTTGAAGTGGATGCATGCAGCACTGAGTGGGCATTGGACATTCCAATGTCAGTACCCTGACAGCCCAAAACCTTCTTGTGAGATGTCAGCTTTTTGTTTCAGATTTCTGTGGACATCATACTGACCTCATCAAAAAGCTTTATATCTATTCTGCACTGATCCGAGGGCCACAGGTGGACTGAGCTCACGCAGCTGATCGGCAGTGTCTCAAGAACAGTGACGCTTCCGTTGCTCTGTTCTTGGTTTTCGTTGGCTGTCTTGCTCTTTGAGCTCTTTCTCCACTGGTGATCTTCTTTGAGCAGGTAGAGGGTTTCCCGGGTTGCCAGGACTGTCAACGGCACCCAGATGTCCTCTGAGAGAAAAATATGACAATATGATAACACTATATAAAGAGTCAAAGATGCTGTCAATTCCAAATGAGAATCTTTGCTGACTGCTTATTAAACATCCACCTTAAATAGACTGTAGCTTTCAAAAACAGGGTTGTCAAGACGTTACCCTTGGGTATGGTACTGTATGTAAGAATCTGCTGCTCTACAAAGCACATTTCTGCTACAAACATTGAAGTTTTCAATGTGTATTTCATGTCAGAAAGCTATCTTCAGAGGAGCGAACAGAGGCAAAGAGTAGATCAAGGTATGCTGAAATTATAGTGCTTGAAATTCCACCGGTGTGCACAGCTGTGTGTAGCCTGCAGCTACCTTGTTTTTATACATGTCTGCTGAAACACAAACAGTGAGGCAGCCTAGGCACCCCGTGGCACCGGTACACATGTACAGACCACATGCATGCCCATACATAATAACACCTGCCACCCACTCCAGTCAAAAGAGAAGATTTCTGCCTCCTTTTATGCCAAAGGCTGTTGATAAGGATCGATGGCGGGGCCTCGCGTCATCTGCTCCATACAAATCACGTCCTTTCTTCTGTATTTCTTCTTCTTGCTGTAATGTGTTTTTATGTGGAAAAAAATAAAACCT